AAGCATATAAAAACGAAAGTAAACCAAGAGCTCCAAGAGGACCAAACTAAATCACACAGAAATTAAGGGAAGAGCAGACTGTTCCATTGGGGGGGGGAGAGAAGGCTGAACGGGGCTTGGATCTAAGAAATCCAAGCCCCGTTCAGCCTTCCCATTACCTCTTTTTTTCAGTATTCGCTCCATAAAACGCACAACACTTTCCCCCCCACTTTTTTTTGGGGGGAAGTGTGTCTTATGGAGCGAAAATACGGTAACTGAAGGTTCTGGTAACTCTGGGCTAATGAAGCTCACACATCCCAGGAAGCCAGAGAAAAGAGATTAAAGCATGCTTCAGCAACTTACCTGCAATTAATCCTAGCAAAGACAGCAGGAGTGAATGTTTCAGAATTGCCCGGTTAGATATGTGCAAGGATTTCAGCTATTATTTTTAGGTTTGTAAAGCAGAAACGTTACTGCCTCTCTTTTTTTTGGCGAGATTTTTGAACTGTCTGCTGCTGGGTTCGGTTGCCTCCTGTTTTATAAGCCTTTTGTTCACAGTTTCTAATGGTCTGTTCTTACTTAATGGTATTTTGTGGGAAGTTGTCAGTCCCTGTGGCAGTCAAAAAGTGGAACACAAATAAAGTGCAAAAAATTGAAGGGAAACCAGAAACAGGTTCTCAAATACCTTTTGATATATTTGAGGATTAGTGAAACACCTGGGCTGTTTATTATTATGGTGCAGCTAGAATGTGCCTCCAGGCTCTTAAACAGAAGAGCAACAAATGTAGTAAATAAAGCAGAAGCAAATCTCCATGCACCTGGTTTGATGTACAGCTGACTGTAACACAATGACTAAGAATGCACTGTGCTAACAAGGCTTAATCGTATCTAGAATTCTATTCCCCAGGTTTTATTAGGTGCCATGCATGTTTATTTTTTCCACTAAGTCTTAAAACCATACTCCACATGGTTTTGGAGATTATCCACAGTTCCAATATGCTTCTTTTAAAAAGTGGCGGGGGGGGTATATTAGGGCCACAGCACTGTGTGTATGTGTGTGAATTGTTCTTCTCATGCCATTTTCCCAATAAAAATCAGCTTCCCCTGATCTACTGTTGACTCAAGTAAGGATAATAAAAGACAAGCACTCCTAGTGCCCGTCTCCTGCTGTATGAACAGACATGTGGGTGCCTCAGTGATTTCTAGCAAAATAGTATAGAAGGGCTAAACTCCTTCCCATAGTGCTGCAATCCTGATACAAATTGGGCTTTTTCTGATTAACCCCCCCAACAAACTGAGAATAGGAACACTTTTTCCTCTATGCCAGTACAATGTCACAATATCTGATATGTTATTATTATCTCCGGGGCTTTAATTTCAAAAATACCTGAATGATACTGTAACTCTTTTGTAGGAATGTCGAGTGTTTATTATTGGATTCTTTGTATGTTATTGTTTGCTTTGTTATGAAAAATGAATAAAGAGAAATTAAAAAAAAACAATATCTGCTATGTTGCCAGTACCATTACAATAGTACTTTGGCCTGAAGAACTATTAATTAGTTAATCTCCCTCCACTACTTGCAATTCAGGACTACACCCTGCAAACAATTTCTTTTTGATTGCTGCTTTAAAAAACCTATTGCTAATTTCAGTCTCTTTTCTGCCATTTGAAACAGCAACTTTGCCAAGTTGCAGACTTTTTAGAAGTATCAATATTTTATTTCTACCCCCCACCCTGACCATTTACAGTGCTGATATCCTTGAACCATCTATGGGCTAATGCATTAATCAATACAAACAGTGCTTCTATCACACGTTGTACTTTTTTTGAAATTATTAGGGGAAAAAATAAGAGTTAATTATCTGTTCAGAAAAAATTGACAGGACTTTTAAAACAACATTTATAAATCAGTTCACAATCTAGGACCAAAACATAAGAACAGCACTAAACCAATAACATCTAATCAGCTATCTCAACCAGCACAATGCAACAATAAATCAGCACAGGTTCCACAACCAAAGGCCAGACAGGTATTTTACTGTCCTTCTGATAAGCAAATGATGTGGGTCAACCAGCCTCCAGGGGGAGGTCATTCCATAGCGGGAGAGATAGAAAGGCCTGAGAAGGGGAAACAGTATAATTCAGAGAAAAAATTCTTCATATTTTCCCCAAGGACTGTCCCTCATTATTTTAAAAGAAAAAAATGGAATTTTAAGGGAGCACTAGGGAAAAAAATAAAACTCCAGTGAAATACTTTCTCCTTTAAGACAAGGTGTTACTCGCTCAATGCATAGCGCGAAGGCTTTTATGTAAGACAATCAACAGCAACATAGAATGACAATTCCTTTGTATAATACAGACGTATGCAACATGTTTTCAAGGGTATTCTTATTATTTAAATGTGAGTTGGACTATAAGGAAGGCCGAGTGCCGAAGAATAGATTCTTTTGAATTATGGTGCTGGAGAAAACTCTTGAGAGTCCCTTGGACTGCAAGAAGATCAAATCAGTCAATCCTAAAAGAAATCAACCCTGACTGTTCCCTGGAAGGCCAGATAATGAAACTGAAGCTCAAATACTTTGGCCACCAAATGAGAAGGGAGCACTCACTGGAGAAGACCCTGATGCTGGGAAAGATTGAAGGATGAGATGGTTAGACAGTGTCATAGATGCAACGAACATGAAGGTGAGCAAACTTCAGAGGACGACGGAAGACCGGAAGGCCTGGTGTGATCTGGTCCATGGGGTCGCGAAGAGTCGGACTCGACTGTGCGACTGAACAACAACAATGGCTATATATGTGAGAGAGACTTTAGCTTGTGTGGCTATTTGAGCAAGAGAGTTCAGCCTGTGTGGCTATATATGAGAGTGTTTAGACTGAGTGTCTAAGCCTGTCAGAGTTGAGTTTTGGAGTATGAGAGACTGTGTGTGACACCCAATTTTGTCAGTTATATTTTCTTTCTTCAACAACAGTTCAAAAATACCCAGAAACCTATTTTGTTCTTTTACAAATAAATCATTATTTGTAAAAGAACAAAATAGGTTTCTGGGTATTTTTGAACTGTTGTTGAAGAAAGAAAATATAACTTATTTGTTTAAACTTATCCCAGCAATCAGAACAGTCCTTCCTCAGGCCCACATAGTCCTCTGAAGCGCCCAGACACTAGGTCATGCTACCAAAATAGAGAGATTTGGAATTTTTAATTCTTGGTGGCAACAGAAATCTACTAAGTTCACATACACAGAGTGGTTTTTAAAGGAGAAACAGTCTCCCCAATAAGCAAGGACACTACAGTTACCTATGAGTGTCTGGTAGTCTTTTGAAGGCTTGATAGTCTTTTGACTGCTTGACTTTGCTAATTTCCCCAACTCAGATATTTGTGGTATTCCTCTCCATAAACTTTATTTCTGTTTTCACTCTGTCTGGATGCTTAGTATTTCTCCAAAATTTGTTGAGCTATCACATTATCGAAGCCTACAGCCACTGTCTGGTCTGCAGTCTGGATCGGAGTGTTTTATAAAGGGTACAGAACATAAGCCAGCAGCTTCTCAGGAGCAAGGTGGCAGAAGAAGGATTTCTTTTTAATATTCTAGGTGTTCTGCATGAATTTGGGTTCAGTGGACCACATTCACACTGACCTATTTTTAACTCACACAAATAATGTAATGCTCTTTTATAGAACTATGGTGCATCTTCTTTGGAAATATTGTGTACAGTTCTGATTGCCATATAGCAAAAAGAATACTAACATTTTTCAGTTTAGAAAAAAAAAGTTGACTAAAACAGAAATAAAGACTTATAAATTATGCACTGGCTGGAAAAAGTGGATAGAGATAACTCTCTCTCTCTCCCCCCCATAATAATAGAACTCAGCAGCACACAAAGAAGTTTAGGAATAACCAAAAGAAATACTTTGTTACTCAAGAATTAGGGAATTCTCTGCCAGTGAATGCAGTGCTGGCCATGAACACTGGAGGTTTTAGAAGGAGATTTGACATATTCATGGAGGACAGGGTCTATCAATGACTACTAACCATGTTGACTAAAAGGAACCTCCATACCCAGATGCAATAAGGCAGTAGCAGGGGAAGGCGTTGGCCTCTATGTCCTGCTTGTTGGCCACCATGTGAAACAAGACTAAATGGACCACAGGTATGATTCAGCAGGGCTCTTATGTTTCCTAATGGGATAGCTGTTTCCAAGACTAAGGCATTGGAATGAAAGATGGTGTGCACGTTGATACCTTTACATTTCAAATCTGAACCATGGCCTCAAGCCTTTCACACCTGTTTCTTTCTTTTTTACACACATAAACCATTTAATAAATACATATACGAGAACATTTAATTACCCAAATTTCTTATGGAAAATGAAGCATCATTTTCACATATGTAACAATCAGCTGAATGTAACATTAAAAACTGAAACAGGTAAACAGGGAGATGACAAGTTCTTTGGTGCACTTGCATGCTGGAAATACTGATAGGGTCTCTTCAGAGAGGAGGTGCCTGCAGAAATACACACCAGTAGGAGCTGTTTCAATCATCAGCTTGTTTTTCAGCAGAAGTCACAGAATATTCCTCCACTGAGGTCTTTTACAACTCCCTCTTTTACCAGTTTTTGAAGAAATGTTGTTTCAGTAGTCACATTGTGCATTTTTTGTTCATACATTGCAGCCATGCAAAGATTGTCGTAATAATGCAACTGCATGTTGGGTTGGCTGAGATCATATCCAAATCCAGCTAAACTCACTTCGTCACATAAATGCGTAGCCAGAACAACAGCAGTGACACCAATTGTAGGTACATTCTTATCCCATCCCCAGAACTTTGGTTGAGGTTCAGGATACTGCAAAATATCCAAAGCAGTTTCTTTAATAATTGCTGGGTTCAAGATGCGGAACTGTTTAGGCAATACAGGAATTTTCTCAGCTACCTGCTTCCAAAAAAACCATCGCATCCAGAGTGGCAGTGACTCATTTTTCACCACTGCTTGAATCCAACTCAAATCAACACTTTTAAATAAAACCGCTACAAACAAGCCATTTGGATAGTACTCATGTTCAGAGAGGGGGGCACCTTCCGGATAAGTCATTCTTATAGTAGTTTTATTACCAACATGATCTGTATATCCTTGAACAGGCGCATTATTTAATCTTATAACAACATCAAACTGATTCAGGGCATAGCCCAATTCCAGTCCACGAAGGACTCCTCCATTCCCCACAACAACACAACGCTTGCAGTGTTTCAACTGTATGTCTTCTGGTAAATCATGCTCAGGTAAGAGACCCAACACGTCTTTAAGTTTTTCTGACAACTTGTGAAATCCAAAAGGTAGCTCATATTTGAAGGCAGCTGTTTGTGAATTTACATCTTTTCGTAGAAATGGAGACATCTGTTCACTGTATTTCTCTGCAAATAACCTGCTCATCTGTTTCTTCGCAAAAGATGGATGACACTCAGCTTGCAAAACTTGCTCAGCATACTTTTGTGCTCTCTCTGCATGCTCAGAGTTCACATACTGAATTTTCGTCAGATCACATTCTTCAGACTCAAAGCTTGATTTGATCACGTAAAAGATGAAAATGCCAACCACAACTATTGTCACATACTTCAAAATACCTTTTAAAAACCCACTTCTCCGTTTCATCTTCATGTAGGCCGTGGTACAGGACACAAATATTGTCATCCTCATTCAGCACTGCTGAAAAGCTCTTTATGATCTCTGGCCCACATACTTCGAAGACTGTCTTCTCCTCACTGAAGACGAGAAGACTGGCTGCCGCACTGGCTCCCCGAACACCTGTTTCAAGTGAGTCAGCAAAGATGTCAAAAACAAGCTCTCTGTTTGACATATAAACATCGGAAAGAAAAAGCGTGTTTAATGTTCAGGACCAGTGTTCCCTCTAAGCTGAGTTAATGTGAGCTAGCTCACACATTTTTGTCTCCGCTCAGGAAGAATGGCTCCAGAGCAAACTAAGTTATGCAGCAGTCAAATCACTCGCTCACAACTTTAATGCCAGCAGCTCACAAAGTAGAATTTTTGCTCACCAGACTCCGCAGCTTAGAGGGAACCTTGTTCAGGACATATCAGCACACCATACACTCAACTCAAAAATCTCGCACCAATTTACATAGGGGAAGAGTAGCGATGTCTCCCAATTGTGTACATTATTACCTTGCTTAGCTTTATTTGCATTATTTCCATTGCAGTCCCAATTTTGCTGTTCTGTCGCCACTTCAACGTGTTTCTGCCACTCCCATCGCCGTCTTACCGCCGTTCTTATAGTCCAGCCGACCGAGCTAGGCAACTCCAAGCCTTCTCTGTCCTAACAAACGCTGTCAGGCGCTCCTTCTCATCGGTGATTGGTCCATTTCACGTCCTTCGATCCGTACACAATCAGGAAGGCAAAGGACGACAAATGCGCGTGCGCAGGCCGATTGAACGTTTGGGCTTCCCTAGACATGCCTGATTCAAAAGTTTATTCCTTTTGAAGCTGAAAAAGAAACTGTCATCGAGAGTTGAAGTATGTTAATATAATAGGCTCTCTTAAGTGTCAATTAAGCGGCTGTGCTCTTTTTTTGTAGACGAAATGCTCAGGCAGATAGGCAAACATGCTTCCTTACTGGGGTCCAAGAAAGCGTTGGCATCAGAAAAAGGTCCTTTTATTAAATCGTCGCAAGCACGTGTCTGTCTTGCTTAGCGGTGTTGGATTAGGAACGGCGAGTGTGGACCCGGTGAGCCGTTCCCGCGTGCCGCCATGTATTACAAATTCAGCAGCTTCACACAGCGGCTGGTTGGGGCCGGCGCCTCTTCTGCTTATATTCCGCAGGTAATGGATAGCCCTACACGGTTCTCTGCCCGTTATTAGGGACTTGACCTTCAGTGTCTTACATCAAATTGGGATAATTTTTGTTTGTTGCGGTCCTCACGAGGGCCCTTTTTTCGCGTGGGGTATAGTGGATGTCAGTGAGAGCACGTGGACCTTGTCGGGGAGGGAATCTGCTCTGTCTGGAAATTTGCCTGATGTTGTAGCTAAGCAGGAAGACCTGGGTTCAGATTCTAGGTCAGCCACGAAACTTACTGGATCACCTTGGGCCAATCAAGTATCATCATGTGGTTAACTGAAAAATAAACGTGCGGCTTATTCACTTCCCTAAACTCCTTGGAAGAAGGGCTGGAAAAACGTAAATGTTAAGAATTACAGCAGCTTGAACCTCGAGAAGATAGAGAGGACGATTTGTATGGGCCTGGGTGACCTTCAGAGTTGTAAACTTGTAGCCTGAAGAAAGGCCAGGTCAGGAACCTGAGTGGGCTTTGCTGATAAGCCATGAAGTGCTTTGATTGGCCCCTTTCTTTTTCCTCCTTTTTTCACAAACAGGGAAGAAAAGTGTACTTGGAGCTAAACCGGTTTGTGCGGCTTTTTGGTGTGTGTAACTTTGATTTTATTATGTTAGGTTGAATGTTTTGGGTGCCTTTATTGAGAGAAATGGCTACATGAGCATTTAAAGGAAACTTAGCTTATTTCTTTGTATGTTCTGTGCTCATCTAATACATTTATATGTTTACTCAGGTGAAGGCTCCTGGAAATACCCTATTTTAAGCCATATGCTCTAATGTTTCATAGATCAAACTAGGGATGGTTTTTTGTAAAGATGTAAAATTTCCGGAAATCTTGAAGCTCGGGAAAAAACCCAGTTTTTTTCCGGTTTTTTTCGTTAAAAAATGGAAATTTTTGGAAAAATTGAAAAAATGCTACATTAGCATTTCTTTTGTCTTTTCTAGATTGAAAGTCATTCTGTTACTTTAGGAACATAAAATATGACTATGGACATTTTTACTTGGCAGGAAATTATCCCAACTAGCATATTAAATATATAGTGTATCCAAACAATTATTACAAACAGAATACCCACCCACATGCAAAAACAAAACTGAAACTTTTTTATTTTCTTCTGACAATAGCACCTCCTAAAGGAAGAAATGCATCTTGTTCTTGCATTGGAGAGACATTCCATAATCAATTTTTTTTCTTTTCTTTTTTCAATTTTTCCAATTTTTCAGAAAAAACAAAAAGGCTTCAGGAAAAAAACTGGAAAAAAACGTTTTTCCCCCGAGTTTTTCCATTTTTTTCCCAGGCCTTCACATCTCTACTTTTTTGTGCATAGAAAAGTCCTTTTCACAAAAAGTAACATTGTATATTGTGATAACGCACACAGGCACACCATCTACAGTACATTGTAAAAGGCTCTACCTGCAGTTCTGAACATTTGATCTACTATGGCCCCGGTCACACGGAAGGTTTTGCCCCGGAAGGCCCGGGAGAGGGACAGATCGGGGTGCAGCAAACGGGCACGAGCACACCGTAACATCTGGGAATCGGCGTGCACCCGTCCCTTCAAGCCTAAAGTGTGCATCAAAAAAGAACCTGTAAAAGAGCAGGACTTACCTGGCACGCCGCAGCAAGCGTGGCTGTGGGATTGCTGGCGCGCTCGTCTTCGGTAGCAATCCAGGCTCCAGTCTGAACTGCGCAAGCGCACACCTGCGCAAGCGCACACATGCGCAGTTCGGCTGCCTTGCTCTTTCTTCAGTGGCTTCCCCCTGGCATCTGATTGTACCGGGGAGGAACTGCGCGGCGGCTCGGGATCTGTGTGATCCCGCCGCCACGTGTCTCTTTGCCCACAGCAATTTTCCCCCGTGTGGCAGGGGCCTATTTTGCACATTCCTCTTTTACTTTTCCTGCAAAGAATTCAGAGCAGCGTATGTTTATTCTCCTTTCCTGGTTTCATTTTCATGGAGGTGGCTGTATGTGGCTTCAGGCTGTCTTAGAGATGTAAAATTTCCGGAAATTTTGAAGCTCGGAAAAAAACCCATTTTTTTTTCCGTTTTTTTTCGGGAAAAATGGAAATTTTTGGAAAAATTGAAAAAAAATGCTACATTAGCATTTCTTTTGTCTTTTCTAGATTAAAGTCAAATCAGTAATCATGCCTTGGTTTGGGATCAAATCAGCATTGTTTGTTTGTATGTGTGTTTTTTTGAGCCCCCGGAGGGGATTTTTTATTATTCTTTTATATCACTACAACAACTATAACAGAAAAAAAGGAAAGGGAAAATACATTTATGGGATAAAGTAAAGAACCCACTACTAACTAAAAACCCAAGAGAGGAGATCCTCCTACTAGCTTAATTACATCAAGTCTTCCCATCATTAATCCCATTACAAACTGAGTCAAACATTTAAAGTACTTTTCCTTTAAAGCTTAAAATTTAACGGTCTACAAACAGTACCCCCGGTCATCCCATCAAAATTCTCAAAGGCACAATTCAGAATCCTTAGCCTTTACTTCTCCTTTCCCCTTCTCTTCCGTAACTTCTAAGGACTTTTTGTCTGCCAGAGAGTCCTCTCTGGAAGAACCCGAGTCTAGCTCGCCACTGGACTTGCTGTCCTCTTCTTTTTTACCATCGTCTCACTTTTCCAGCTGGACCCTTAGAAATTCTTGAGCTTTCAGAACAGAGTCAATCTTTTCTTTTTTATCTTTAATCTTGAAAGTAATGCCTTCTGGAAATAACCATTTATATCTAATTGAATTTGTCTGAAGAAAGAGCACAAGTTCTTTATACTTCTTCCTCCGTTGTCTTACTTCAAATGGAATGTCCTTTAATACTCTGATAGTATTATCTCCCGCTTTCAGGGATATTCCAATAACCGCTTTCAGGATTGCAACCCTCACAAGCCTCTTTGAGAATCTTACAACAATTTCCCCAAGCAGATTATTTTTTCTTTATGTAGCCTGAATATGATCTGTAGACCACATCCACATCGCTTAGCAACGATTCCGCCTTCATCTCTGTCACTGGGGCTAATAATTCGTTCATCACTTCTTTAAGATTCTCCCCCTTATTCTCTGGCACGCCCTGGAAGGCCTTTTCCATTTGCAATTGCAGCAGCTGATCTTTCGTGGAGCTTTGTTTCCTTTCCAGCTTTTGCACTTTCTTCTTCACCTTTTGAGTAACTGCAACCACATCATTTGCCTTCTCAGTGTTTTGTTTCATTATTTGCAATGTCTCATTTATCTGAGTTTGCTGAGAGGTTAATACATTGCGTCATTGTTGACAACTGTTCCTTGAAGTTATTCAGCTGTTCCAGCAGAGGCCGCATGTATTCTGTTATAGACCTTGCCACCTCACTGGTAGCTTCCGGTTTTGGGCTCTCAGTCCCTTTCGATTTCAAAAGTTTTTCTTTCTCCTTCCCTGCCATCTTTATCGTTTCTTTACTTTTGCAATTTTTTAAAAAGTCTCTGAATATGCGCTTGATCGCTTGAACTCGCTCTGGTAAGTACTTCTAGACAGTGTCCTTCGCGTTTTCTTCCACTCCCCCCCTTAATCGCTCAAAAGTTCATGCGCATGGGAGGCGTCCCTCCCCCGCTCGCCCTTTTTGCATTCAGTGGGGTGGGGTGGGGAGCTATCTTTTTTCCTTTTAAAATGCTTTAAAACTGACTCACGTTCATAGTTGGTCTTTTGACCTCGCTTTCAGCTTCATTTCTGATGCTCGATCTCCTGCGCTTGCCCCGGTCAGCGTCACTTAAGTCCATTCGGTCTCACAGCACGTAGGACCATCGGAATGAAGAGGCATTCCACCGTCGAAGAGGCCACCTCTTTGAAGTTCCATGGCCAGGGTCCCTTCGCTGGGCCCCTGGGGGGGTTAGCGAGCCTGTGCACCCCCTCCTTCGGCTGGAGCACAGCTTCACCCCCGGGGAGGTCCAGGAGGTGAGTCTGCTAGCGCGCCGCCATAAACCGGAAGTCAAAACAGCCTTGTTTGCATTGACTTTGCTGGGAGAGTGGTGGGGGAACAAATGTGTCCCTTTTCATTCTCCTGTACCTTTCAGTGGCTTTCAGTACTGTCAACCATGGTATCCTTTTGGAGAGGCAGGATGAGTCGGGAGCAAGGGAAACTGAGCTTCAGTGGTTTCACTCTGATTTGGCTGATTTCAGAAAGTGGTGTTGGGAGACTCAAATAATGTGAAGGGGTTTTTATAGGGATCCATCTTCTTCCCCATGGTGTTTAACATCTTCAGAGAACTGCTGGGAGAAAATGTCTGGGGATTTGGCACAAAATGCCACCCATATGTGAAAGACACCAAGCTCTATTTTTCCTTAACAGCTGGGTCAGGTGTGACTGTGGAAATCCTGAACAAGTGCCTAGAGAAAGTAATGGGAAGGATGGGGGCCAGAAGATTGAAGTTCAGTTCAGACAAGACTGAGGTACTGCTGGACAATTAAAACGCTGTTTGAGGGCTGAGTAGTCAGCCTGTTGGAGGAGGGCTGAAGAGTCAGCCTGTTGCACTCCTCATGCTGGTGCAGGATCCAGGGTGCTACTAGATGTTGGCCTGCAGCTGGGAGCTCAGGTCTCCTCCCTTGCACAGAGCACCTTTTGTCATAGCACCTTTTGAGGTTTTGCACAGAGCACCTTTTGTGGTTTATAAAGTGGCTACTGCTGTTCCTTGAAAAGTATGATTTAGCCATGGTGAACCATGCTGTGATCGTATCCAAGTTAAGCCACTCTGCTGCCTTGAGCAGGTTCTGGAGAGCTGGCATACAGATTTTCTAAAGAAACATCCCACAGTGTAGCATACCCTGTGAGATAGGGTAGCCTGCGAGAGAATGGCAGACCCAAGGTCACACTAAATGACAGAATGAGGATTTGAATCAAGGTCACCCAAATCCTAGTCCAACGCATTCACTGCTACACTATACTGGCTGCTTTATATTCTATGGGCCAGCTCTCCCCATTTCTTTTCCGATCTTGTACTGTTTCTTTGAGTCATTCCATGC